AGAGAGAGAGAGAGAGAGAGAAATAGAAGAGAAAGAATAGGCTTTGTGTACTCAGAGAGGTGAACAATGCCTGAAAGTTCTGCTAAAAGCTGATACAGGTTATCCTGCTGGAGACAGGATAGTGATGAGATAATTATATAATAAAATATAACAATCTTTTCACCACTTTGTAAAGAAAATCAACACAAGAACCATGAACCTTCTTCCAATGAGCATTTCTCAGAAATATTCTCAGAAACCAAAGAGCAACTGCCAAGTATTATTTATCCTGCAATCTGGAAGGAAGAATATGCCATTTATTTATCTGAGACAGCATTCAATGATGCAAACAGGTCGATTCTCCTGAGCTTGCACCAACTTCATGCTGTCAAAATTGTATTAGACATAGATGTGAACCAGAAACAAATGGATCTGTCAGACGCTGGTGTGATCTAGAAGCAGAAGTAAGAAGTACATTACGTAGATAAAATGCTGAGGCCTTGATTCGGACTCAGCAGCAAATAGTACATGAACCAAAATCCCATTTATAAACTAAATGGTGTATCGCTATAGTTTATGGGATTCAACAGGACTGAATACAATACAATATCATAGCGAATTCCATCAAGTGCTGTTTGTTTGTTCTTTTGTTTTTTGTATTTTTCAAAACAGCAATGGAGCCATGAGGGATACTTGAGATCTGTGGACGGGTCAGTTCAATCAAGGGGCTGCTTCATTTATTACTTTCATGGGCAATCTCAGCGTGACAGAGCACAGATGTGGAAGGGCAGGGGAGGTGTTGTCAACCCAATTGCTCGGGTGAAGTCCAGGTCTTCTCTAGAAGTTCCAGGAGGTGGCTGGAAGGTGAATCTCTGCAGGAGGCTTGTAAAGAACAGGAAGAGCTCCATTTTGGCCAAGGTCTCACCTGCACATATCCTGCGCCCTGTAAAAATGCCCAGAGCACAAAAACATAGGGGTTACTAACTTTTTGTTATTTTATACAGTTTTTTTTATCACCCATCAGCTGAAATCTGGTTGTGCAGTTGTATGCAAGTTGGACCTTTTGGAAGCACAGTTTTGCAAGGACAGAAATCTCCAGACATGATCCATTGCAATCACTTGGTGTGCAATACAAACAGATGACAGCATGGAAATAAAGTAACAGCAAATTGTAAGAAAGAGAACCTTGAAAGTGTAATAAAATTTCATGTTCGATCTATCTCACAATCCTGGAAATGCAGTACTGTACTGTATTGCAGAACATATCCAGCATTAGAACATCTTTTTTTTTCCTAGAACGGATTAGCATCTCCTGTGATTGTACTGTTTCAAGTCAGTTTACCTATTGCAGCAGCCCACTCCATATCTGTATGTTTTTGTACCTGCAGAGAAAGGCATGAATGCATCTCTTTTGACAAACTTTCCTGCAGAGTCAAGAAAATGCTCAGGATAGAACTCATGAGGCTTCTCCCACTGTGATTCATCATGGAGCACAGAAGTCAGCAACGGAATGACATGAGTTCCCTGAAAAGGAAGAGGTTGATTTTTAAATGAATGTACAACTCAATTAGCATTTACACATGCTTTACAATATGGAGCTGATGTTCACCAACTTCTGAAGAGGAAGTTGCTTACAGTGTCATTCTATTGAAAATAGACAGGAATTTCTTAGTCAGGTGGGCCATGACTGAAAAGCAAAGTTTGCAACTAAATCAAGTTAATCACCTTTGGAACAAAGTAGCCTTTGAGAGTAACATCCGTAGTAGTTGCATGTGGCAAATTGGTCGGGATGATATCGGCAAACCTTTGAACTTCATGGACTACGGCATCTGTGTATGGCATTCTTATTCGGTGTTCAGTCCTGGGCTGAGCAGTTCCAACAACATCATCAATCTCTGCTTGGACTTTTTCTGGGGGAACAAAAGAATCCTTGCTATCAAGAGCAATTGTATGCTCTTTGAATTTGCATCAGCATGTGTAAAGGCTATATGCTGAAGCATGTATTTCCCACACAGAAGTAAGAAATTGTCCAATACAGGCCCCTTAGATGAGACTGCCTAAATAAGTACTTTTGCCTACAGATCTAAATCCTGCCCCTAAATTGATACATTCATTCACATTTCTATTCTCTCTGAATATTTTAAAATTATGATACATGGGTTCTGACCCTTTGCATTGCAGGTCCTTGCAATGATGGGATTCCTGCATTGAGGTGAGGCCATAAGGTGATCAAATGCACAACCTGTCTTTCTTGCTTTGTAGAAAAAGAAAAAAAAGATAATAAAGCCATCCAAAGCTTAGTTCTTGCTACTTGCTAGGTGGTGTCACTGGAAATGTAAAAATACTGCTTGATAGGGAAGGGAATGAAATTATGAAGAATAAATGGAAAGAAAAAGAAATGTCCACTTTCAGCACAACCTGCTCACATTTTTTATCTCCTCCCCCTTACCCAAAACATAACTGGAAAAGGAATGGGAAAAGCTTCATATCTCTTCCTCAAACACATTTAAAATGTCAGTTATCACTAGGGGTGTACAAATTTGAGTTTTTGGACTATAGCTCCCAGAGATCCCTGGACAGTGCCAGGAGAAATCTGAAGAGCTACAGCCCCAAAATGCAAATCTGAACACTTCTGGTTTCCACTGATTGACAGACAGCTCAGATATTAAAATAGTAAACAATGACGTTTGATGGGTAATTGGTATAAATAAAGGCAATTAACTTATTGCAAACAAAGGTAATGACATCAGAGTGTTTATTCTTCTGCTAAAAGGCAGAAGTGGTGCTATTAATGTAAACAAAAGTGTCACTTTTGTTTACATTACAACAGTCACAGCTGCTTTCTAGCAGTTAAGTAAACAAAATTTAAAATATAAATAAAATGTGATATCTCATACCATAATGAGAGGATGAAGCAACTGCAAGAAATATATTTTGTTGTTTAGTCGTAAAGATGTGTCCTACTCTTTGTGACTCCATGGACCAGAGAACACCAGGCCCTCCTGTCTTCCACTGCCTCCCGGAGTTTGGTCAAATTCATTTTGGTAGCTTTGATGACACAGTCCAACCATTTTGTCCTCTGTCATCCCCTTCTCTTGTCTTCACACTTTCCCAACATCAGGGTCTTTTCCAGGGAGTCTTTTCTTCTCATAGATGGCCAAAGTATTGAAGCCTCAGCTTCAGAATCTGTCCTTCCAGTGAGCACTGAGGGTTGATTTCCTTCAAAATGGATAGGTTTGTTGTCTTTGCGGTCAAGGTGACTTTCAAGAGTCTCATCCAGCACCACAATTCAAAAGCACCAATTCTTCGGCAGTCAGCCTTCATTATGGTCCAGCTCTCACTTCCATACATCACTACAGGAAAAACCACAGCTTTGATTGGCAATGTGATGTCTCTGCTTTTTAAGATGCTGCCTAGGTTTGTCATCACTTTCCTCCCAAGAAGGAGGCATCTTTTAATTTTGTGGCTGCTGTCTCCATCTGCAGTGATCATGGAGCCTAAGAAAGTAAAATCTGTCACTGCCTCCATATCTTCCCCTTCTGTTTGCCAGGACGTGATGGGACCAGTGGCCACGATCTTAGTTTTTTTGATGTTGAGATTAAGACCATATTTTGTGCTCTCCTCTATCACCCCCAGTAAGAGGTTCTTTAATTCCTTCTCCGTTCCCATCGGAGTGGTATCATCTGCATATCTGAGGCTGTTGATATTTCTTCTGGCAATCTTAATACCGATTTGGGATTCCTCCAGTCCGGCCTTTCACATGATGTATTCTGCATATCAGTTAAATAAGCAGAGGGACAATATACAGCCTTGTCGTACTCCTTTCCCAGTTTTGAACCAATAAGTTGTTCAATATCCAGTTCTGTTGCTTCCTATCCCACGTATAGATTTCTCAGGAGATAGGTAAAGTAGTCAGGCACTCCTATTTCTTTAAGGACTTGCCATAGTTTGCTGTGGTCCACACAGTCAAAGGCTTTTGCGTAGTCAATGAAGCAGAAGTAGATGTTTTTCTGGAATTCTCTGGCTTTCTCTATAATCCAGCGCATGTTAGCAATTTGTTCTCTAGTTCCTCTGCCCCTTCGAAATCCAGCTTGTACTTCTGGGAGTTCTCGGTCCACATACTGCTGAAGCCTACCTTATAGGATTTGACCATAACCTTGCTAGCGTGTGAAGAAGTGAATGCTTTGGTGAAGTGAATACTCCAATACTTTGGCCATCTCATGAGAAGAGAAGACTCCCTGGAAAAGACCCTGATGTTAGGAAATTGTGAATGTAGGAAGAGAAGGGGATGACAGAGGATGAGATGGTTGGACAGTGTCATCAAAGCTACCAACATGACTGTCCAAACTCTGAGAGGCAGTGGAAGACAGGAAGACCTGGCATGCTGTGGTCCATGGGGTCATGAAGAGTCAGACACGACTAAATGACTAAACAACAACAACACACCTTTTCACACTCTTTTGTTGACTATCAGGGCTACTCCATTTCTTCTACGGGATTTTTGCCCACAGTAGTTGATATGATAATAGTCTGAATTTAATTCACCCATTCCCATCCATTTATTTCACTGACGCCCAGGATGTCAATGTTTATTCTTGCCATCTCCTGTTTGACCACATCCAGCTTACCAAGGTTCATAGATCTTAGTTTCCAGGTTCCTATGCAACATTTTACTTTGCAGCATTGGACTTTCCTTTCACTTTTAGGCACGTTGGCAGCTGAGCATCCTTTCAGCTTTGGCCCAACCACTTCATTAGCTCTGAAGCTACTTGTACTTGTCCTCCACTCTTCCTCAGAAGCATGTTGGACGCCTTCTAACCTGAGGGGCTCGCCTATCTGATCATATTAGACCACTCTAGGCGGCTTACAGTAAAAACAACAATGTAATTTTAAGACTTTACAGCAGAAACGTAAATAAAAAAAAAAAATAAAGAACAGTGCATCCCAGAAACGCCAGACGTCCTGGCCTTGGGCAAGATGCACAGCGCAAGGATGCCCCAGAATAAAGGAATGGTAAACTATTGGGGACATGGTGGCGCTGTGGGCTAAACCCCAAAAGCCTTTGTGTGCTGCAGGTTCAGAAGGCCAGCAGTCATAAGATCAAAGCCACGCGACCGAGTGAGCTCCTGTCGCTTTGTCCCAGCTCTTCGCCAGCCTAGCAGTTCGAAAACATGTAAATGCGAGTAGATAAATAGGTACCACCTCGGTGGGAAGGTAAACAGTGTTCCGTGTATAGCTGCGCTGGCCACGTGATAACGGAATTGTGCTGCAGGTTCAGAAGGCCAGCAGTCATAAGATCAAAGCCACGCGACCGAGTGAGCTCCTGTCGCTTTGTCCCAGCTCTTCGCCAGCCTAGCAGTTCGAAAACATGTAAATGCGAGTAGATAAATAGGTACCACCTCGGTGGGAAGGTAAACAGTGTTCCGTGTATAGCTGCGCTGGCCACGTGATAACGGAATCTGTCTTCTGACAAATGCTGGCTCTACGGCTTGGAAACGGGGATGAGCACTGCCCCCTAGAGGCGAACATGACTGACTAAAATGTCAAGGGGAACCTTTACCTTTTTAAAAAAACTATTTCAAAGTATTCTCCACCTAGAAAACTCTGAAAAGGATTGCCATAAGTCAGAATTGTCTTGATGGCACATGTTCCTTTTAATTATCATGTAGAATTAATATCAGCATAGAATTAATATCAGCATGTTCCAAGATAGTAAGAGAAAGTGAAATGTAAAATACTCACTCTGGATTTTAGGGTACTTCATCATTAGCAAAAGGCCCCAGCGCAAAGTGGTAGAAGTGGTCTCCACACCGGCAGCAAATAAATTTCCCACAACATGTTTTAGATTTTCCTTATGGAAATATCCAGTTCTTCTTGAGCTCCTGGAACAGAAAACAACAAGTTCAATAAACTGAAGTGATAAACATCCACAGGCATAAAATATAGTAAGCAGCCAAGGACTTGAAAAATATGCATACAGTCAAGGTCAAAAGTGTGACACTTGAACAAGGCCTCAGAGCACTTAATAAAATTTTATAGTGTTCTGAGGCGTTGTTCGAGTGTCCGACATTTGTTCAGCTCTGTTCATCTATTATGGACCATCACAAAATCAAACTTCCAAAGGGTATTTTTTTAGTCCGTTTTAGTCTGTCATAATTGAACCTTTATCCCTGAAAGGGTTAAATAGCAGTGAGGAGCAGACCATCATGATAATCATATCAAAGTTCATCTGGGTGTATCAGTCATCTACTTGCTGCTGTCTGGTTCACTAGGAATGTAGTTTCCAATCCTGCTCTATCTCTCTTCAGAGGATGAGTATAAATCACAGTTTTCACTCATGGTGTCTAATTGTGCAAGCTGTAGGTTACAAGGCAGACAGAGAAAAACATCTAAAAATCTGGTTCATGGTCTGAATTGACGAGGTCATCCCAAAATATTACAGTATGCTGCCCTCTCCCTGCTCAGACCAAGTGTTGCAGATACACAATACAGCAAACTGGTTAGGTAAAGGTAAAGGTTCCCCTTGACAATTTTTGTCCAGTCGTGTTCGACTCTAGGGGGCGGTGCTCATCCCCGTTTCCAAGCCAGTGTGACTTAGACACGGAACGCTGTTACCTTCCCACCAAGGTGGTTCCTATTGATCTACTTGCATTTGCATGCTTTCGAACCGCTAGGTTGGCAGGAGCTGTGACAAGCGACGGGTGCTCACTCTGTTGTGTGGATTCAATCTTACGACTGCTGGTCTTCTGACCATGCAGCACAGGCTTTTGCAGTTTAGCCCGCAGCGCAACCACGTCCCTAGCAACCACGTCCTTTAATTCTTTAAAGCATTTTATCTCATTCTTTAGCCAAGAAACGTTGTGCATGCAGAAGAAATGTGATTTGTTGAGCTTATTGAATAAAGTTTCATTTCCATGGATGAATTTAATACAAACTCTTGCTCGTTAAAAGGCAAGTTCTTCAATTTGTCAACCATCACTCAAAATATGAAAAAAAATGCAGCTAGTACTTCCGATTAAAATAAAGCATTCCCCATTCCATATCTAGTCAAATGAACTTCATTACCTCTTGTTGCTGGATGAGAAATGTATCAATGAAGCTCCGCTGATCATTTTTATCCAGATCTTTCAGGTGATTTATGAAGGTGGCAGTTATAAAGGCATGCAACTCATCTCTGTTTTTAAGGAGGGTCTTACGAGCACCAAAAAGGAAGCCAAGGGCAGGAAACATGTTACACAACTGAAAGTATCAAAAAGGAAGACAAGATTGTATTGACAAATCGCAGTACTTTCAGAGAGATTTTGTTCTCAAATGAACATTTTGAAGAGCTTTCACTTAGAATCATAGCATCATAGAAAAGTGAAGTTGGAAGCGGCCATCAAGTCCAACCCCCTGCTCAATGCAGGAATACAATCAAAGCATACGTATCTGCCAGGTGATTATCTCCTTCTTTATTGAATGCCTCCATTGTTGGAACACTCACCAACTCCAGAGGTAACTGGTTCCACTGTCATACTGCTGTAAAAGTTAGGACGTTTTTCCTGGTATTCAACCGAAAACTGGCATCCTTTAACTTGAGCCCATTGTTGTGTACCCTGAACTCTGGGATGACAGAGAACAGATCTTGCCCTTCCTCTGTATGATAGCCTTTCAAATATTTGAAAAGTGCTCTGATATCACCCCTCAGTCTTCTTTTCTCAAGGCTAAATATGCCTAATTCTTTCAGCCTTTCCTCATAAGGCTTGGTTTCCAGCCCTCTGATCATCCTTGTTGCCCTCCTTCTGCAATTCCTTCCTACTTGTCTGTACTCTTCTTTGGTGGCCTGGCCTTCTTTCCATTTCCTGTACATCTCTCTCTCTTTTTGGTTTTTAGGTCCTCTCTGAGCTTTTTGTGAAACCACACTGGCCTTTTTTGCTGCTTCCCCCCCTTTTTTTCCTTGTTGGACTTGTTTGTAGTTGTGCCTTTAGAATTTCTTTTTTAAGAAACTCCCACCCTTCTTGGGCTCCTTTTCTTGTTAGGATCTCCTGCCATGAGACCTTACTTATCCTTGTTCTGAGATTATTAAAATTGGCTTTTTAAAAATCTAGCAGACCTGTGTGGCTACGCTATGCTTTTGTTTCTTTTGAAATCAAGAATTCTAGAAGGACATGGTCACTCTCACCTAAAGTTTCCCTTTTTGCCATTTTCCCCACCAAGTCATCTTTGTTGGTCAGAATCCAGTTTAGGATAGCAAATCCTCTAGTTTCTTTCTCCACTTTTTGTAGGAGGAAATTATCAGCCACACCGTGCTCATCCCCATTTCCAAGCCATAGAGCCAGCATTTCTCCGAAGATGGTTTTCGTGGTCACACGGACAGTGCGACTAGACGTGGAACACCATTACCTTCCCACCAAGGTGGAACCTATTTATCTACTCGCATTTTTACATACTTTTGAACTGCTAGGTTGGCAGAATCCATCGCGTGGATTTGATCTTACGACTGCTGGTCTTCTGAACTAGCAGCACAGAGGCTCCTGCGGTTTCACCCACAGCGCCACCACATCCCTATAAAAGTGTGGCAAACCATCTCAATTTGGAGAAAAACACAATGGTAGCTGTAAATGATGGAGTAACAGATAAAATATCCCTAGGCTGAGGTAGTAGATAGGAATGTTCCCATTCCTCGATATTATTTCCGTTAGTTATAGAAATATTAGTGAATTATATTAGAGAGGATAATTTACTAAGAGGTATACACACTGAAGACAGGGTTAATATTAGCTTATTTGTGGGTGATGCATTATTAACAATTAACAACAGAAAGCTAAGTATGATCTCCAGTTAAAATGAATGGTATAAGCAAGTTTGGAACATAGGCATTAATGCTAAGTAAATGTGTAATATTAACGTAAGGAAAGGCCTAACATATTAGAATTTTTTTAGAGCTATATGGGGAGAAGTCATCGATTTTCTATTAACAATGGGAAAAAGTTGTGTCTCTCTGCAAGCATCAATGTGTTTCTGGAAGGGAATGGGGCTTTGTAATTGGAGGAAAAACAAAATATCTCCAATGGTCAGGAAATGGGGAGCACATTTGTTACTACTATCACACTCTTTACATGGGGCCACCCATGAGGCTGGTACAGAAACTTCTGCAGGTCCAGAATATAGCAGCCAGATTATTGAAGAAATACCGTTAGATCTCCCCTAAAGCAAAGCAAGAGCAAAGCATGCTGCTTATATACCTCCCCATAGTGCTTCAAGCACTCTCTGGGCAGTTTACAAGTTAATTATGCAGGCTACACATTGCCCCCCCCCTCCGTGAGCTGGGTACTCATTTTAACTAACTCGGAAGGATAGAAGGCTGAGTCAACCTTGAGCGGGCTACCTGGGATTGAACCCCAGGTCATGAGCACAGTTATTTAGAGCCCTAACCTGTGACAGCTTCAAGGTGATGATGTTAGCATACCAGGCTGGACAGTTGAGATCATTGATCCTGAGAGAGGCCTGGAAAGTGGTTTGGAATAATTTCCTCTGGAATAATTTCCCACCTGAAATCCACCTGGCCCCTTCACTGGGAATTTTTAAACAAGATTTGAAAACATGGCTGGTTAAATAGATTTTTCTGGAGATCACATCATCATAATACAGAGGTTTTTCAGTGCTTACATCATCTGTTATTTTCAGAGGGATTTTTAGTCTGTATCTTGTTGTGTTTATTTTAATAAAAAGTTTAAAAATTTAAAAAGCACATAATTAGGTGAACATCATGCAATTGAAGGAAAAAAGCAGTGAAATGAACATTGAGAACTGCAGCAGAAACACCAAGAAAAAAGTCTCTGCCTGGTTATGACCTTGATCTCTTTTAGCATTTTGCACAGGGAGGCGAAGAGGAGTCAGGAATGGGTTTGATCCAAAAATGCTCACAATGAAACAAATCTCTTTTAATATGTTTTCCTCCCTATTCCCCCAACTATCAAATTTAAAAATATGCGATTATGTGCTGTTATTAAGCACATAATAATATACCATTTTATTTCCTAATACATCAGGTTTATAATATTATCTTCAAGAAAATTTTCTTTCTGTTAATCTGTGACTTGGGAATCCTTATAACAACCATTCCTAATCTTATTGCTTATTATCTGTGGGACACCCCATGCAGTTGCTGTCACAGTGCCTAAGTTGCCACCCCAGTGGCACTTTGGAAAAAAAAGACGTGGAGACAGGGGGAGGAGTAGGAGAGCCTTAATCAGGCTGGCTTCCCCCTGACTCGGCCTCTTTCTCAGTGTGGCGTCGCAACCCACCTGCCCACCCTTTAAGGAATAAGAGTGAGAGTAGCAGGTCACTTCAGGGCCACATGGGAATTTTTGAATTATTCCTGCAATTGGCATGTGTTTGCAGTAACTAGGAAATGTCAGGTTTGCACATTTAATTGGTCACAACTGTGAGTAGTGTGAGAAGTAAGAGCTTAGTGAGTTCCAATTTTGACACCAGAGGAGGGTGACAGTCATCCCATTTCCCTGGCTGGTGGAATCAGGAGTTGTATGAAGAGAGAAGGAAATTAAGGGGATCTCCTGGGTGGCAGTGCACCTATGGTCATGAGGCTCGGTGACTGAAGCATTGGGGGGGGGAGTCCTGCAGATTGGAGGCTGAAGTCATGCTGAACAGAGATCAGCACACTTCAGTAATAGGAACTTGCACTTGGTGGTCTGATCTGAATGTATAAGGTACAATGGATTCAGAGTACAATTTCGTACTAAAGTCGACCCTCTTATGAAAATGGAATCTAAATATTAAAGTTAAATAGTTAATCTGTTCCTAGATTAGAAGCAAGGAACAGAGAGATAAAATGGGTAGTAAGAAACACGCAGATGGCGGAACAAATTAAGTTTCTCTCAGTGAATGTTAAAGGGCTAAAATCGCCCCAGAAGAGAAAGAAAATATTTAATAAACTTGTTAAAGTGAAGGCAGACAACATTTTTATTCAAGAAACTCACATAAAAGAAAAGGACAAAAATTGTTAGTAATGCCTAGACTAGGGAAAACTTTCATAGTTTCAAATCAACAAAAGAAGAAAAGAGTAGCAATGTATATTAAGAAAAATCTAAATCCAAAACTGGTCTTCGCCTCAGAAGATGGGAGACTATTGATGGTGGAAATCTCTTATGAGGAAGAAGAGATACTATTGGTGAATATATATGCACAAAACGAATCTCAGCATAAATTTTATCTTCAACTGAAGAATCAATTAATTCCGAAGGCAGAACAGAAAATATGCTTCATGGGTGATTTTAATGCAATAGTGAATAAAGAAAGGGATACATCTATGGGAAATGGAAATGGGAGGAAAAGAACAAGGAATGTGATACCCAAAGTATTTCTGGAACTGGCAGAAGAATTAAGTCTAATTGATATATGGAGAACCAGATATCCAAAAAGAAAAGACTACACATTTTATTCAGATTGACACAACTGTTGGTTAAAAATAGATAACTGCTGGATCTCAGCGGAATTAATCTATCAAGTGAATGAAATAGATATACTACCAAACACATATGCAGACCACAATCCAATATGGCTGAGCTTAGGACAAACATCAAGAAGAGGCTCATGGAAGTTGAACAGCTATCTATTGAGAGAACAACCATTCCTGAATAAAATTAGAAAGGAATTAAATTTCTTCTTCCAAACGAATAAACCCCTGGACACAGAGATGACAGTGATATGGGATGCTGTGAAAGCATTTTTTCGTGGTTGGGCAATAGAATATAATATACAAAGGAAAAAGGAGAGGAACAAACAATATCATACTTTGATAATGTCCTTAAAAAGAGAGGAAACGGACTAAAGAAGACCCCAACTAACAAGAGTTTATTGGATAAGATAACTATTTTACAGCATAAAATGAATCTGTTAGAGCAAGAAGAGATGAAGAAAAAAAATAAAATTTGCTAGACAGAACTTCTTTGAAAATGCAAACAAGCCAGGAAGATGATTAGCATATAGAATAAAAAAAGAGAGAGAAAACAAGAATTACGGAAATACTGGATAAGCAAGAGAATGAAATCTACGCACAAAAGGAAATTGAAAAAGAAATAGCCAAATTCTATGCTGGTTTCTATAAGAAAAGAGAAGTAGAGCAGGAGAAGCAAATGGAGTACTTGAACAAATTCCAAAATGGAAGCTTGACTCACAACAACTTGAGAAATTAAACAAATCAATTACAATGGAGGAGATTCAAGAGACTTGGAAAAAACAGAAACGTGGGAAATCCCCTGGACCAGATGGACTTCCAGCTGAATATTATAAGGTGTTTAAAGAAATCTTAAGTCCTCAATTTAAGAAATTAACCGAAGATATCGAGTCTAACGGGGTAATACCTAATACATGGAAAGAGGCACATATCACATTAATACATAAAGAGGGGACCGAAAAGAATAAAATCAAGAACTAAAGATTAATCTCTCTTTTAAATGTTGATTATAAGATCTTCAAAACCATCTGGGCTTCAAGACTAAAGGAAATACTGGGAGAAATAATACATAAAGACCAAACAGGTTTCCTCCCCAAAAGGAAATTGTCATCAAACATAAGGACAATAATAGACATTTTAGAGTATTATGAATTACATCCAGAAAAGCAGATGATGCGGATCTTTTTAGACGCAGAGAAAGCCTTTGATAATGTCATCTGGGAATTCATGATGCTACAACTAAAGAAAATGGGAGTGGAAGGAAAATTTCTACAAATAATCAAAGCAATATACTCTAAGCAGGAAGCCAAGATTAAGGTCAATGGGGATTTAATGGAGAGCATATTGATTGAACAAGGCACAAGACAGGGTTGTCCGCTATCCCCTCTTTTATTTATGCTAAATTTGGAAATCCTAAATGGGCAGATAAGAGCTAATGAAAGAGTTAAAGGACTAAAAATTAGAGGTAAAGAATTCAAGGTACAAGCTTATGCAGATGATCTGGTGATAGTACTTGAAAATCTTCAGGGAGACCTAGAGGAAGTATCGAGAATCATAGAAGATTATGGACAAGTGACAGGTCTTAGAATTAATTATCAGAAAACAAAAGTTATGATTAAAAACATAACGAAAGAAGAAGTTGGAAAACTGGTGAGGGAAAATAATTTTGAAGTAGTACAAAAAATCAAATATTTAGGAGTCATCATCACCAAAAAACCCAGCAACTTAATGAAAGAGAACTATCTTAGAATACAGAAGGAAACACAGAAAAACCTGGAAGAATGGAGTAAGCTACAACTGTCATTAATGGGAAGAATTGCAACGATAAAAATGATGATTTTGCCTAAACTTTTATTCCTCTTACAAAATCTAACAATGTTACAAATTTCAAATACTTCACAGAATTGGATCGCCTGACAACAAAATTTATATGGACGACTAAAAACCCAATAATAAAACTTAAGCTATTATAGGATTTGAAAGAAAAGGGGGGGGGTGCAGGACTACCAAACTGGTTATTATATTATAAGGCATGTGCTATGACATGGATAAAAGAATGGATAACTCTGGTAAACCAAATATTACAGAAACTAGAAGGGCATGACTTAAGCATGGGCTGGCATGCATATGTGTGGTATGGGAAATATAAGGAACAATCACACTTTATGGAACATATTGTAAGGAAAGCATTGGGTCTAGTGTGGCATAAATTTCAAGCACAAACATACAAGAAAATTCCATTTATGTTGAAAGTGCTGAATCAGAAAGGGATGTTATTAACTTATAAAGAATTATTTAACAGAGAACAAAATATAAAAAATAAGCAAGAATTAGAGGAATTAGGGGTGGCAACAGATTGGTGATCATTGAATAAACTAGAATCAAGATGTAGAAAAGATAAAAATATGGGCTTTTTTGAGGGTGAAGTCCAGGTGGACAAACTGTGGATTCACACTGATGAGAAAATAATAAAGAAAATGTATACATA